GCCCATTTGAGGCTCAAACTTTCAACAATTTTTAGTATTTTCAGAGTTATTGCAGAATTTAAATTTAGAAAAATGTTAACAATGTGACAAATATTTATTCTCCGAGGCGCCTGAGATAACATTAACATTTAAAGTAAACAAACTATAGGTAAATTTGAAATTTTGCAAGGATTTATTTTCGCCTGTTTACGTTTTGGTTTATTATTCATTTTCAAATAATGTAAATAATAATTTGCATTTTCATCACTTTTGTAGTTGTGAATTGCATCAATAGCTCAAGAAATTTATGTATTTTTCAAAAAATTTTGCGAGGGCAGGCTGATTTTTCCAGGGCTGATTGGGGAGTGTGTCCTGAGTATTGAGCCAAAAAATCACACTCGAAAGCTTTGTGAGTTCGGCCTTATTGGCCTTTTTCTTATTTATTTTTTTTTCGACAAAATGACCTTTACAAAACTTGTAGATAATTACATTTTGATCAACTTTGCCTCATGCTTTTTTTTGCTAGCTATTTTAGTTTAGGCGTTGCGGCCATTTTAGTGCTCCAGAATTCGCAAAAAAATTAAATAGCAAACCTTCAGATTATTGTAACTTTAATAAAATCACTGGTAATGTACTCCATTACGTTTTCGGTTTCAGTCCAAGAAATGATACATTACATCACTAATCCGGTGAAATTATTTTCCCGGAGTGAAAGCCTGAAATCGAAATGATGTTTTTTTTTGATAATACTGGAACCTGTTGCCTGTTTGAAAAGTGACAAAATGTTTTTTTTTTTTCTACAATCGGCCTAGAAAGTAGACTTTGTCGATTAAATTTGTGCTTGCAAAGTAGACGTTTCCTGATGACCTTCACTTTGCCGCTTTAAAGCGTCAAACTACGTCAAAATCCTTCACTTTGTCGCTCTAGAGCGGCAAAGTAGTGAACGCGTTTGCTTTTACTACTGGTTTCTTTGAACCTGAATAATTTTTATCAAATACGATTGTAAAAAGTGTGCATTTGCCAAGTACCACTTTGTGCTCTTAATACACAAATAGCTATTGTGCAACCGTTCGCGAAATTCAATTTCGCGAAACGCCACATTTTACCTACGCCACATTTTACCTGCAAAATGTGTCAAATCCTTAGAAACGCTATGCATGCCACAATGTCCACTAGGTTAAATAAAATTTTTCAAATGCCTAAAAGGCCGTACAAGCGAAAGAAATAAAGTTACAATAAAATATCATCAAGCAAAGTAATAGAGAATTTTATTAGGTATAATAATCTGCAGGTTTGCTATTTAATTTTTCTGAAGCACTAAAATGGCCACAGCGCCTAAAGTAAAATAGCTAGCAAAAAAAGTCATGAGGCAAAGTTGATCAGAATATAATTATCTACAAGTTTTGTAAAGGTCATTTTGTCGAAAAAAAATAAATAAGAAAAAGGCCAATAGGGCCGAACGCACAAGGCTTTCGAGTGTGATTTTTTGGCTCAATACTCAGGACACACTCCCCAATCAGCCCTGGAAAAATCAGCCTGCCCTCGCAAAATTTTTTGCGGCCCAGGTATAAATTTCTTGGGCTACAAACATTCAAGAAAAAATTAAATTAAAATTATGCTTTTTCAGCTAGGTACCTACTTGCCAAATCCTGATTATGTCTTTGCAAAACAGGCGCAATGTTCTTTTTTCAGGTGCCGACCTATTAAGAAGTCTTGTCCTGAAAATTCTGCACTGTAGATGAGCATTTTGTAACGATTCTCCGTAAACAAATAGGTAACATTTATCTGCCATATTTTAACGTATTAAATTTTTTTTAGTCAAACCTGATGCACCCTGTAATATTCATGTATTAATTGAAAACTTCAACTCAAACTTTTTAGATGTAACAACCCTAAACTGTAATTACTGTAAAACAATATTCAAATCGGGTTGTGACATAACTAAAGAATCATCTTATGAATGTGATCGTCCTGAACTTGACCAATGCCTAACAATGGCAACCCTTTATCAACAAGGCGACAGTAAGTAAGTAAAATTAATTTCAATTCATCTTCGATAATCTTTTCTATCGTAGAAAATGGAACCTTTTTTACTCGCACTTGCTGGTCGGGAGGATGTGAAGCAATTAAAGAAAGTATACCTAAAGACCTACGAGACAATGTTGTGTTTTGCAAAGTCTGTTCTAAATCAAACTGTAATAATCAAGATTTTCCTGAAGATTTACCAGAAGTTCAATAATAAGTTTTAGTAAAGTGTTTATTGGGAAATAAATATATTCGAAAACTTTCATTTGTGTATTTTCTCTAAACGTTCTTGGCCCTTGAATTTGTTGAAAAATCAAAGCTAAATTAGGCCCATAATAAGGGATGGACAATAATAATAATTGTTACCCCCTAGTCTATGTCGTTTTTTTTTTTTTTTCTAATAGATTTTCCTTTTATTTATCCTGATAATATTATGCAATGCGAATCAGATAATATACGAGGAAAAAATAGGTTGAGTTTCTCTGCCTTCAAAGCACCAAGACCTGACGGCATTTATCTATCCAGCCCTGCTTCAGTGGGATCTGAAGCCACTTTTGCCGTACCTGGTAGGGATATTCAGGAAGCTCTTGGCGCTGAGTTACATGCCCAAGGCTTGGAGAGAAGTTAAAGTGGTGTAAGTGGATTCTTTTAAAATATGGCTATACGCTAAGAAACCAAAATTTTAAAAATTACTTACGTTTGGTTTTTGTCCATACTATATTTCTGCTGATGTCATTCCATTGGAAGAAACTGATGAGCCTCTATTCAATACATAATTTATAGTTCTCACCGAATCACCCCAATACTCCTTCGGTACCCTAAAATCCTGAATAATTGCCCTGCTTTTTTCAACTAAGCTTCTGTTTTTCCTTTCTGCTTTTCCATTCTGCTGTGGAGTATATGGTACTGTGTAATCCAAAATTATAACTTGTTCAAAGGTCTTTAAAACTACTTGTCACATATTCACCCCCATTATCACACCTTATTAATTTTGAAATTCTATTGTTAAATTTAGACTCTACCATAATGACATAGTACCTACTATTCACATCAAATATTCACATGTGTGAGTGAGTTTTTCTCCTAAATAACGTAAATTGCTCCGAAAATCGCTCAACTTATGAGTATATGTATAGCAATTCTCTCATTATTATGTTGTTCAGATAAAATACTCACAATACTTTTCTCCTTAATACAGTAAAAATTCTATTATAAATCTCTTAGGAAAAACTTGCAATTAATAAGATTAACAGTTTTTTCCAGCAAAATATAGTAGGTGAATAGTAAAACTAACACCCTGTATACATTATCAGAGCCTTACTCTTTGTTTTTGGGAATTCTTCGCAAAAGCTCCCCTTCAAACAAATTCGAAATATTTTCAGCCTGACAATCGTACTCCAAGTTCCACATATCTTTATGCTCCAAAGGCCTCCTGAAGCCTTTGTACAACATCGAAGCGTAGTAAGTGTAAAAAATCCTTCCGAAAAAAACTTGTAGCAGTCACAGGATTTGGATTCTACGAATTTACTAGTTTTTGCACTATAAATTTTTAAGTAAAATGTCCACGTTCATGTCCATATCGTTGATTATTATCGTTATTTAATAGTTGATTTAGAATTTATCAGTATTTTTTTTTTCTTGAGACCAGTGTTTGGAACACTGTTTAAAGAAACTTTGAATTTCTATTGCATGTATTTGTTTTTTTTGTTGTACCTAATAAATGATTTTCAAAAATTTAACTTTTTACAGTCCTTTTCAAAATCACCAGATTCACCGCATCTATAGCATGTACCTTTTTGCTGTGTAGTGAAAGCATATGTACTGTCCTGACCATCATTAATTCTCTTACCTAATTTTTTTTTTTCAAATTCTGCTACCAACCTCCGTTTCACCATTTCAAATGTCTTATTCGGGGTACCTACTTTGAATAATTGCTACCATGGTCTCATAGTATACTCCAAAGCTCTCAAAATGACCTTAGCTGTAGCCCTTGACTCCATGCCTGATATCCTCCAAACGGAAACTACTGGCATAACCATCGCGGCCGAAGAAATGGTCAGCAACAATATCACTGACAAGATCGTGCCCATTTACACGGACTGCAGACAAGCAGTACTAGTGCTATCTAGACCGAGACTCACATCAGAACTAGTACAACCGAAGGGGAAACCACCTTAAAATTTGGGTGTACAAACTGATAGAATTTTTTAGAATTTCTTTGAATTTTTTAAAATTATCAGTATTTTTCTAGCATTTTTTAGAATTATTTAGAATTTTTTAGTATTGTTTAGAATTGAATTGGAATTTTTTAAAAATAATTTAGAATTTTCACCTATTGCGCATGCTCAAGAGCCTGCGCACTGCGCTATCTGTAGGGATTTTTGGAATTTTTTTGCATTTTTAGAATTTTCGAAAATTTTTGGTATACAAATTTAGGTAGGTGGGTTCCCCTGAGCGGAAAACCTTCTTAGAATTTTGGTGTAGGTACATACAAACTGAATTTTTAGAATTTCTTAGAATTTTTCCGAATTATTCTAGCATTTTTTAGAATTATTTAGTATTTTTTAGAATTGAACTAGAATTTTTTAGAAATAATTCAGAATTTGTATCTATTGCGCATGTTCAATTTTTTAGAATTTTTAGAATTTTTTGGGACAATAATAATATGAAAATTAGCATTTTTCAGAATTTTAGAATTTTTGGTGTACAAAATTAGGTACGTGGATTCCCCCTCGAGTACAACATTGCCACCGTACAATCACCGAAGATTATCCAGTGTGACGTCACAAACACCTAGTTGTAACTTTGAACCGCCCTAACTCGATAACGAACCATCGTAGCAAGATTCAACCCTCATTAGTTTTTTTGTTATCAAATAATTATAAACTTTTTGCAATGAAAAATGATAAATAATAACTATGTTCTATAGCGATATGCCATACTTATAAGTATATAAACTATAGGCAATTATTTTAACTTCTAGTTAGTTGATTTTTTCAAGTTCAAGTTCAAGTTTAAACCAAAATGTTTAAAAATTTTCTCTTAGGGTTTGTTGCAATAATTGTATGTGTTAATATGGAGAGTAAGTATAGCATCTTCATTTTTCCGCCTAAGATAAAATTTATAGTAAACAAAATATAGGTAAATTCAGAAAAAAAGCGCAGCGAGTTCCGCAGCTATCTATTCATGAATATGTTGTTTAATTACGATACCCTGACTCACTCAAATGTTTAAAACCTACAGGTTTCAGGTGAATGTTTTACTTGAACAGTTCAACAGTATATTGGTGAGTAGATGGCTGCGGAACATAAGTTCTGCTGCGATAATCCACTTATTTGTACTTGAACAATAATTTATTATATAAAGTCAAAATTTGTGAGATTATCCACTTTTTGTCAATTTGCCCATCAACAAAAATTAGTAATGTTACTTTACCAAACTAGTAATATAATGTGACAAGTTATTCAAGTTCAAATGAGTGGATTGTTGCGGAACTTATGGGTGGACCTCTGCGGGACGGGCGCAGCGAGTTCCGCAGCCATCTATTCATCAGATTTTTTTTTTTAATTACGATAACAATCTGACTCACTCACATGTAAGTTATTCTCATTAGTTTGAAAACTACACATTTCAGGCGAATGTCTTTCTTGAACAGTTCAACAGTATATTGGTGAGTAGATGGCTGCGGAACTCGCTGCGCTTGTCCCGCAAAGGTCCACCCATAAGTTCTGCTGCGATAATCCACTTATTTGTACTTGAATAATAACTTAATACCTATATGAAGTCAAAATTTGTGAAATTATCCACTTTTTGTCAATTTGCCCATTAACAGAAATTAGTAATGTTACTTTACCAAACTAGTAATATAATGTGACAAGTTATTCAAGTTCAAATGAGTGGATTGTTGCGGAACTTATAGGTGGACCTCTGCGGGACGAGCGCAGCGAGTTCCGCAGCCATCTATTCATCAATATGTTTTTTAATTACGATACTAATTTGACTCACTCAAATGTAAGTTATTCTTATTAGTTTGAAAACTACACATTTCAGGCGAATGTCTTTCTTGAACAGTTCAACAGTATATTGGTGAGTAGATGGCTGCGGAACTCGCTGCGCTTGTCCCGCAGAGGTCCACCCATAAGTTCTGCTATGATAATCCACTTATTTGTACTTGAACAATTACTTATTATGTAAAGTCAAAATTTGTGAGATTATCCACTTTTTGTCAATTTGCCCATCAACAGAAATTAGTAATATTACTTTATCAAACTAGTAATATAATGTGACAAGTTATTCAAGTTCAAATGAGTGGATTGTTGCGGAACTTATGGGTGGACCTCTGCGGGACGGGCGCAGCGAGTTGCGCAGCCATTTATTCATCAGATTTTTTTTTTTAATTACGATAACAATCTGACTCACTCATAGGTGAGTTATTCTTATTAGTTTAAAAACTACACATTTCAGGTGAATGTCTTTCTTGAACAGTTCAATAGTATATTGGTGAGTTGATGGCTGCGGAACTCGCTGCGCTCGTCCCGCAGAGGTCCACCCATAAATTCCGTAACAATCCACTTTTTTGTACTTGAACAATAACTTATTATATAAAGTCAAAATTTGTGAGATTATCCACTTTTTGTCAATTTGCCCATTAACAGAAATTAGTAATGTTACTTTACCAAACTAGTAATATAATGTGACAAGTTATTCAAGTTCAAATGAGTGGATTGTTGCGGAACTTATAGGTGGACCTCTGCGGGACGAGCGCAGCGAGTTCCGCAGCCATCTATTCATCAATATGTTTTTTAATTACGATACTAATTTGACTCACTCAAATGTAAGTTATTCTTATTAGTTTGAAAACTACACATTTCAGGCGAATGTCTTTCTTGAACAGTTCAACAGTATATTGGTGAGTAGATGGCTGCGGAACTCGCTGCGCTTGTCCCGCAGAGGTCCACCCATAAGTTCTGCTATGATAATCCACTTATTTGTACTTGAACAATTACTTATTATGTAAAGTCAAAATTTGTGAGATTATCCACTTTTTGTCAATTTGCCCATTAACAGAAATTAGTAATGTTACTTTACCAAACTAGTAATTTAATGTGACAATTTATTCAAGTTCAAATGAGTGGATTGTTGCGGAACTTATGGGTGGACCTCTGCGGGACGAGCGCAGCGAGTTCCGCAGCCATCTATTCATGAATATGTTTTTCAATTACGATAACAATCTGACTCACTCAAATGTGAGCTATTCTCATTAGTTTAAAAACTACACATTTCAGGCGAATGTCTTTCTTGAACAATTCAACAGTATATTGGTGAGTAGATGGCTGCGGAACTCGCTGCGCTCGCCCCGCAGAGGTCCACCCATAAGTTCTGCTGCGATAATCCACTTATTTGTACTTGAATAATAACTTAATACCTATATGAAGTCAAAATTTGTGAAATTATTCCCTTTTTGTCAATTTCCCATTAACAGAAATTAGTAATGTTACTTTACCAAACTAGTAATATAATGTGACAAGTTATTCAAGTTCAAATAAGTGGATTGTTGCGGAATTTGTGAGCGGACCTCTGCGGGACGAGCGCAGCGAGTTCCGCAGCTATCTATTCATCAGTATGTTTTTTAATTACGATACTAATCTGACTCACTCAAATGTGAGTTATTCTCATTAGTTTTAAAACTACACATTTCAGGCGAATGTCTTCCTTGAACAGTTCAACAGTATATTGGTGAGTAGATGGCTGTGAAACTCGCTGCGCTCGTCCCGTAGAGGTCCACCCATAAGTTCCGCAACAATCCACTTTTTTCTACTTGAACAATAACTTATTAGATAAAGTAAAAATTTGTAAGATTCAACGAAACCCCGTATCTATTCTGGGCATGCGCAGATCGATGCGGATACGGATATGTTCGAAATTTAGGACTGCGACATGAGTAAAGTAAAATCCTATGAATGTGGTCAACTTGAAGATGAGCAATGCTTAACAATAGCAATGTTTGTTAGAGAAGGCGACAGTAAGTTGTTCAAAAATTAATTTAGGTCCATCATCAATGATCTTTTGTAGAAAGTGGCACCTTTTATTCTCGTGATTGCTGGTCAGGAGGATGTGAAGCAGCTCGAAAAACTTTTCCTAATGTTCTGTATTGCAAAGCCTGTTCAGAAGCAAACTGTAATAATGAAGATTTTCCTGAAGATTTACCAGAATTTAAGTATAGGTTTTAGAAAATGTGTTTGTTGAGAAATAAATGACTTTCAATTGTGTCAAAACTCGAAACGTTGGCCCTGAAATTTGTTGAAAAATACATTATTATTATTTTTTATCAAATAAATTATAGGCATTAAACTTTTGCAACGATGAAACAATAATTATATTCATAGCGATATGCCTTATTGGTATATATAAACTAGGCAGCACAATTAACATCTGGTTAGTTGATTTAGTCTAAAATGTTCTTCCTTTGTTGCAATTATTTTATGTGTTAATATTGACAGTAGGTAAGTACTTTATAAAATCATTTTAATTTTTCTTCATCAACTGTATGTATTTCTAGATATAATAACCTTAAACTGTCATTATTGTCATTCGCTATATAAACAGGGTTGTGAAATAAATAACGAAACATCTATTAATTGTGATAAGGTTGTTCCTGGTGATAATCAATGCTTATCGATGGTGAAAATTTTCAAATCAGGCGACAGTAAGTCGTTAATTAATTTTACAAAGAAAATTTGTGGAAATTAAAGTCAAAGGAAAATTGAAAAAGTTGGGGTTTGTGCAGGATTTGAACCTGCGACCTCCGCAGAGTGTCGTACTAGCAATGCGGAGGTCGCAGGTTCAAATCCTGCACAAACCCCAACTTTTTCAATTTTCCTTTGACTTTAATTTCCACAAATTTTCTTTGTAAAACTAGTTTCGGTACCTATAACCGACAAAAATTCTCCCTTTGTTAATTAATTTAGCTAAGTTTTGATTGGTCCTTTTGTAGGGCTTATAACCTTTTTTACCCGTTCTTGCTGGTCAGGAGGATATGAAGCAGTTAAAAAAGGAATGTCTCCTGTAGAGGTAAGGGACAACCTTGTCTACTGCAAAATTTGTACAGAATCGAATTGTAATGATGGAGATTTTCCTCAAGGTTTACCAGGAAAACACAGAGGACGTCGATAATTTTTTTCTATTTTGGGTAGAGGGTAACAAATAAAGAAGATAATTTTGCAAAACTCTTTATTGTTTGTTTGCTTTTGTAATACTTTGTGTATTTTTAAAAACCTAAGTTGCAAAACCCCACAATCACATAGAAAAATGTAATAAATATTAGTCAAATCATATACATAAAATCGTTCATGAATATGCAAAAGCCTACTAAAAGTCTCACAGAATCATAATTCTTTAGCTCGGCATGCCCTTTTACGCACAGTCGGTTGATTTTTTGATGCCGTTTATCTCGAAAATTATGAACGTGTGATAGATTGGGGCCTCGATCTAGGTAGTTGGATTTCTTTTCGAAAAGAGATCCGACCGATTTTGGTTGTTTATTCCGAGATATTTTTCGTCCGGCGCCGATTGTATTGTTTTATGGTGTGATACACATATCAGTGGGTCCAGATTAGAGTTTAGATTAACCGGACTTTTGGTAAATAGAAACTGAGATTATGGTAATTATCTTAAATGGCAGTCGTCTATTTGGAGAGGATTATGATATCTCTAGGACTAACTGAAATACGTTCGAATTTAATCCTTGAGATTGTGGCTAATTGCTCAAGATTCTCTCATAGTTTGAAGTAGCCGCTTTATATTTTTTATGAATAATGTATCATTTTTCTTCCCAAAAAATACATAACAAGGTGTGAAATCACAAGTTTTATAGGGCATCCATAAATTAGACTTGCCTGATCTCCTGAGGTGTTTGTTTTTCTTTTGAATTTAAAAAATATTTTGATTCGATTTGCATAAATTACTAAAAATTCACAGCATGTAAAAAGCTATTCCAAATATTCTCAAAAGTATTGACAAGGATTATTATTCCGCATTTTTTCCTTACAATACTGACAATCAAATTGAAAAAATTTCGTGAATATCGCAAAAACGATTCAATTAACAGTGGAGAGCACCAATCAAATCTAATGAGACAATTAGGAAAGCTGCAGCGGCATGGGGCAAAGGCGTAGAAGCGGGCCTCTGGTGACTTACACTGTGCATCATGAATTTAAATGAACGGCAAGATTGAAATTTGTACCCTTAAGATGGAAACGCTGATATTAATAAGGGGTACATTCTCGAACTTGAGGTATTTTGGGGTACAGAATCGGACTGAAAAATATGTTTAATTTGTGTTGGAATGAGTCAAGCTTCAGCTTTTTCAAAGTAAATTTGTAAGAACTTTCTATAACGATTCGAATAAGGGCCTGGAATAAACAAAAATTAAGACAAAAAAATTCAAAAATCATAAGAAGAAATTTAAGAATAGGTATGTAATTGAGAAAACATTGGTGAGAAAAATTGTTCTTTTTCTATAAACGGCTCTATTTGAACAAATTGAGAAGAATTCAAGAGCCTGGAATAGACAAAAATTTACATAGAAACTTTGAGAAACGATGAGAGAAAATTCGAGAATTATTGAGAAAACACTGGTGAGAAAAATTGTCCTTTTTCTATTTACGGTTCTCAAATTTTCTCTCCATTTAAGAAAAGATGAAAATTGAAGATTTAAATCTCATTTTGAATGGTATAGCAAAATAATTACGTCCCTGTCTGCCCTATAATAACCGTGCAACTTTCAAATTAAATCGATTAATATTCAAGACGAATTAGACGTGATCATTGTTTTGATATACAATATCTGCGGTTTAGACAGTTATAATTGTAAAAAACCCGAAACGATTTACGACATATAGAGCCAAAGTGGCATACCTGATAAATTAAGAGGCTCAACATTTGCTCCAGATTAATTAATTCTTATTATTGTGTGCCGCTACATTTATTAAAATTGGCACTCGTTATTTTTGGTTGCTGTTTAATTTAAAGAAATTGTTGATTGTTATCATGAAGTTTGAAATTTTCAGCGATTCTTATTCCAATGGAGGACTACAATCCTTGAAAATTTCAGCTTATTTGGATTTATAGATCCTGAAATAAAATCGCGTTATGCAATTTGGGGTAAATTTATCGATTTTTCAATTCTCTGACGTCCTTTTTTCATAGATTTCGGCTTCAAATCCCAGAATAATTTAGTGTATGGAGTTTAGTTATGAAATCGCAAAACAAAAGAGTAAGATTAAAAGTATCTTCTCTTAACCAGTGTTGTCAGATGCCAAATTCAAAATTATCAGGATTTGAGAGCAAAATTATCAGATTCCAAGAAAAATTATCAGAAAAAGTTTCTGTCATTTTTTTGACTTTTTATCTCTATTTTCATTTTTCGGGTTCTAGTTGGGACTCTGGCAATTGTAGCTCTCAATAAGAGCTTCAAAAAACTTTGAACCTCAATATTTTCAAAACTATTTAAGATATAGAATTGAATCTTATTTTATCTTGAAGATAATTTAATTCTGATTCAGTATATATAATTTTACATCATATTTGTTATAATAATGACCAAGTAATTTTACAAGCCTTAAAACCCTAAAAACAAAGTTGCTTAGATGCTTGTCTACTAATTTTCACCTCCTCTTTTGATAAGTAAAGTCAAAAATTGCAAAATTCAAAAATTCGAACTTTTCCAAACAAATTTTCAAATATTTCAAATGCTTGTATTTTGGAAACCAATAAAGCTATTGATATGAATCTTTTGCTTAATTGTAGCTCTTAATAAGGCATACAAAAAAGGTTATTTAAGGCTCTGAGCCCAAGGGCTTCGTTTTCAAGATAATCCGCCTGGAAGCTTTTGCAAAATTTGAGGTAAAGTTTCAACTTTGAGCCTCAATATCTTCAGAAGTATTTAAGATATAGAATTGAATCTTATTTTATCTTGAAGATAATTTAATTCTGATTCAAAATATATAATTTTACATTATATTTGTTACAATAATAACCGAGAAATCACCAATTTTGTTAAAGAATGTCAGATTATTGAAATTTTTTTAAGCCCAAAAATTGCAAAAAGCGTTTTTATTTTCTAACAAGGCTTTAAAACCCAAAAAGGAAAGTTGCGAAAATGCTTTTCCACTAATTTTAACCTCTTCTTTCGATTCGTGAAGTCAAAAATTGCAAAATCCATAAAATTTAAATATTCGAATTTTTCCAAAGGGAAATTTGATTTTCAAATACCATTCAAAGGGCCATATTTTAGAAACCAGTGAAGCTATTGGCATGAATCTTTTGCCCAATTGTAGCTCTCAAGAAGGGATACAAAAAAGGTTTTCTAAGACTCCGAGCCCAAGGGCTTTGTTTTCAAGATAATCCGCCTAGAAGCTTTCGCAAAATTTGATATAAAGTTTCAACTTTGAGCCTCAATATCTTCAGAAATATTTCAGATAAAGAATTGAGTCTTATTTTATCTTGAAGATAATTTAATTCTGATTCAGAATATATAATTTTACATTATATTTGTTACAATAATAACTGAGTAATCAGCAATTTTGTGAAAGAATGTTAGATTATTGAAATTTTTTTGAGCCCAAAAATTGCAAAAATCGTTTTTATTTTCTAACAAGGCTTTAAAATCCAAAAAGGAAAGTTGCGAAAATGCTTTTCTACTAATTTTCACCTCTTCTTTCGATTGGTGAAGTCAAAAATTGCAAAATCCATAAAATTCAAAAATTCGAATTTTTCCAAAGGAGTGTATGCATGGAAATTTGATTTTCAAATACCATTTAAAGGGCCATATTTTGGAAACCAGTGAAGCTATTGGCATGAATCTTTTGCCCAATTGTAGCTCTTGATAAGGGCTACAAAAAATGTTATATAAGACTCCGAGCCTAAGGGTTTCATTTTCAAGATAATCCGCCTGGAAACTTTTGCAAAATTTGAGGTAAAGTTTCAATTTTGAGCCTCAATATCTCCAGAAGTATATAAGATATAGAATTGAGTCTTTATTTTATCTTGAAAAATAATTTTATTTTGAATATATAATTTTACAATGTATTTGTTACAATCTAACCGAGTAATCAGAAACTTTGTGAAAGAGTGTCAGATTATTGAACTTTTTTGAGCCCAAAAATTGCAAAAATCGTTTTTATTTTTTTAAAGGCTTTAAAAGATCTTCAAGATGTCGGAAAATGAAGGTCAACAAGTTTTATCCTCCGAAAAAATGCGGGTAAAATAGTGTGCAATTCTTGCAAAAGAGATGATGTGAAAACTGAGCTAAAATATAAAGTGTGTACTAAGGGCGCAAAAACCCTGGGATTGGGCATTGTTTTGTGTCCGGGCTGCGCGCCAAAATCGGCTGATGATGGCGCTTGTAAAAATGACCTGAGTCGTGAAAGTGAGCTGTTAAACAAATTGGTGCTTATTCTGATGGACAATAATGAGCTTCTACATACGAAAGTACATGAAATGGAGGTGAAAATAGATGATTTATCCAAGAAAATAGGCATTTTGGAGAAAAGTGAGGTTAAATTGGATGTAAACATTCGCCCCCGGTCCCCGACAACACCTCATTCCCCTCTTTACATCAATCCTGCGCCTGCAAATATGGCAACGTCGCAGCTTTCAAAAAGAAAAACTTCTGTTCCTAACCTCAATTTCAATCAAAACAATGGGGAAAAACAGCGTAATAATATCCCTGAAGTTGAAGTTACCCTCAGCCAAGCTGCAAAGGCAATCAATGATGCCGTTGTCCAAACTTTACAACCATTCATAGGGCAAAAAAGTCGTGGTAGTGATGGCTCATCAAGTTCTTTGGGAAATCGTGGCAAAAAGCCTGGGCACCCAGATCAGCTTTTACAGGGTGTACCTGGGAAAAAATGGTTTTTTTTTGGGTAGAGTGAGTGGAAATGCTACAACAAAGATTATTGATGATTATATAAAACAAAAAGCAACATCGTTGAATTGAACACACTTTCAATTCATACGAACTTCCATCCAAAGCGGAGTTGAAGTCATTCAAGGTTGGTGTCACTGAAACTTATTATGAATAATTGTTAAATGAAGGTTTTTGGCCGGAAAAAGTCATTTCTAGACCATTCAGATTTAGAAAAAAACAACAAAAACAAAATTTTCTGTTTCCCCAACCTCTCAACAGCCAAAGGGAACTTTTACATTTTATTACCAAAATGTTAGA